CCCTCCCCCGCCCTGGCTTCCGCGGTGCCAACCCCGCGCAGCTCCGTGGCCTCACCTCTGACTCCTAGGCCCTCCCTGCCCAACCTCCTGCCGCGGCAGTCCGTCTCGACCCCTCCCATGCCTCCCAGTCCCACCCTGCCCAGGACAAGCCCGCTCGGTGTGAACGGTTCCCCGCGAGTCGAGGGTGGAGAAGCCAGCCTCCTGCCCCCGAGTGGTACTCTAGCAGCCCACCTCTTTTAGGGGTGCTCAGAACACCCATTACTCATCCACAACTACTAGGGTAGCTTTCGCAGGGTGCAGTGCTTACGGGGCGGAAGGGTTTGGAAACATCCCCATGCCCTGGCTGGAATGGAGCTCCTGTCGCTAGGTGAGCCCAGTAGCCTTTGGCTTGGCAGAGGCCACGCTGTTATAATTTTCCTCCATACTAGGCATAAGGTAGTAACAAAAAAGGAAGAACCAGCCCTTACAGGGCTCAGGGGAGCAACACGAGAATGTCCGCTCAGTACTTGAGGACAGAGGCTGGAGAGAGAACTACCCATTTACACTGAGAACCTCCGTTCCTCTCTCTGCTCTGTGCTGGAGAGTGCAGAGCCAGAGATCCAGAAGGGCCCATCTCTAAAGGTGGCCATGTATGGTGGTGAGTGTATCTTGGCTAGGTTTGGGAAATCCGACCTCTCTGATTATATTCTCTAATCTTTGGGCTGCAAAGCAGCTGAGAGTTTAGTATTTTTCAACATAGTTAAGCCACTGTGTTTTATTTGGGAACAGCCAAGCTAAAGTAAAATGTGGTCCCTTTAGGTCATTTACAACCCTTAGTGTTGAAGTATAGAGTGCTGCTCTCTCTTGGCCTTTGCTGGAAGACCACTTCTGTGTTTTCTAAGACGGAGAGAGCCTTTTGTTTCATAGGGCACTCCCTAAGAATAGCTCTTATTTATCCAGAGATACCCAGAAAACTCTTCCCTTTCCTCTTTAACCTAACCCTGTTTTTCTCCAGCTCTCAGGGCCAGAGCGGGGCAAGAGGATGCTTTCCCAGCCCCACCATGGAGCTGCGCTGTGGGGGATTGCTGTTCAGTTCTCGCTTTGATTCAGGGAATCTAGCCCACGTGGAGAAGGTGGAATCTTTGTCCAGTGATGGGGAAGGGGTAGGAGGTGGGGCGTCAGCCCTGACCAGTGGCATTGCCTCTTCCCCTGACTATGAATTCAATGTGTGGACCCGACCAGACTGTGCTGAAACGGAATTTGAGAATGGGAACAGGTATATGAAACGAAATGGAGGGTGAAAGAAGGCTCCAAACCCATGCTTCAGTTAGCCCTGTGCCTTACCTGTTCATAGCAGCATGCTACCTGTCCTCTTCTGACCCGTCCTCCCTCCTTTCTGCTTGCCAAATAGCCCTGTCCCAGTTTGGCTGGCTCCAGCTCTCCCACAGATCCTATCTCCAACCCTTCCACATACCTCTCTCTTACTCTGGTCCTCAGGTCATGGTTCTACTTCAGCGTCCGGGGAGGAACACCAGGAAAACTCATCAAGATCAACATTATGAACATGAACAAGCAGAGCAAGCTGTATTCCCAGGGCATGACCCCCTTTGTGCGCACACTGCCCACCCGGCCACGTTGGGAACGCATTCGAGACCGGCCCACCTTTGAGGTAAGTTCTCCATGAGGAGGAAAGAAAGACTTGGGTGCTAAAAGTAGACAGGAAAGTAAAGAGGTTTTGTTCTTGATACAAGTATGAGGCAGGTGGGACAACAGGTTTAAGTATCAGCTTTTTCTCCAGTGTTAGCTGGAGTCCAAGATGAGCCCCCGCCTCAGGAAACCTAGAAGGAGCCCCTTTTCATATAGAAAGTGTCAGAGGGAGGGAAGTTGGTAAAGGTGATAGGGGTGTGAGGTCAGGTCCTGGTGGTCCCAGTAGGAGCTCAGTTCTGACAATGGCATGTTGCCCCTCCCTCTTCCTCCTCTGCTCCTCAGATGACAGAGACACAGTTTGTGTTATCCTTTGTTCACCGTTTCCTGGAGGGCCGTGGGGCCACCACCTTCTTCGCCTTCTGCTACCCCTTCTCCTACAGTGACTGCCAGGATTTGCTAAACCAGCTAGACCAGCGCTTTCCGGAGAACCACCCTACCCATAGCAGGTGCCAGCCCCATTCTTACTCCTGCCACACAGTCCTGGATCAGACAGCACCTCCACTACATCTGGAATTTTGCCCTTAGAGCTCTGAACCAAACTTTCATCAGTCTTTTTTTGTATAGAATGTACAGACAGGACTTCGGGTACCTTTGAAAACTATGTTTCTGTATGACCCTGATCTCAGCATGTCAACACCTGTCCTCCACTCTTTTACCTGCCCAGTTCAGACCTCTTACTAGCCCAGCTCCCATCAGTTATCCAGAGTTTAGCCAGCACTATGTGACTCAGTACACCTTTTTTATCTGCCCCCACGGAGAACAACTCCAACTACATAAAGTATTCTAGGAAGGCACAAACTGGGGAAAAACAAGTTCACCCTGTCCTGTACTCTTCATTCTGGCAATGTAAGCCCGCTCAAATCCTTAGCCTCATTTAACATTGTGAGGGACTATAAGGCCCCAAAGGTTAGGTGAAGGACCAGATTTTGCAAATCCTGGGCTGGTGACAAGGCCTACCTCTTACTAGGACTTTAGGGACTTCTCCTGGCTTAATTATTTTTTCCATGTAGCCCCCTGGATACCATCTATTACCATCGGGAGCTCCTTTGCTATTCTCTGGATGGACTTCGTGTAGATCTGCTGACGATCACTTCCTGCCATGGCCTTCGAGAAGATCGAGAGCCCCGTCTAGAGCAGCTATTTCCTGATACCAGCACCCCTCGACCATTCCGTTTCGCAGGCAAGAGAGTGAGTGGAAATAGCATAAAGGTAGTTCTTTGGCCTTTGTCTAGCATCAGGTACTGTTGATAGCTAAAGACTATGTTATCTCTAGGTATCCTGGACACGGCCTCTGCCGGCAACTTGTGGCAAGGGTGATGGCCCCTGCTCCACTTGCAGACTCAGCCAACTGGAAATCCAGCAGCTATTCCTGCCTCATCCATGACAACCCCCATATACTGTCAAAGTAGAACTATAGTGTAACTGACTTAATGTCTGCTCTCCTCTCTACCTCAGATATTCTTC